GCGCTGGGGTGCCTGGCTACATGTCTCGGGGACTCCCCCCGACGTACAAAATACGATTCAGGACTTGCCATTTGAGGGCAAAACTTTGTTCTCGGAGCACACCGACTCTAGGCTCCATACGCTAAAGGACACAAGGTCTACCCTGAAGTCCTTGGGCATTCACACGCCTGCCCCGCAGTGTCGTCAGCTGCCCTATAGGCAACAGGGGAGAGCGCAGCCCCAAGTCCCTCGTGGGGATTACTGGAGGCGACGCTCCCACGCCTCCGGTGGAGGTGCCAGGGTGGTTGCGCACCCCCAGGGCTCTAGGGGTCGCCGTCGTCGCCCCAGGACAGATAACCAGCGGGGAGGTCCCCACGGCCCTTCCCATCAGGGCAAGCCTCAATTTTGATGCCCTCTTCGAGGGTTACGCACCAGTCTCCCACCCTGGTCCCCCGTTTGGGGCCAGGCTATCCCTTTTTGCCCATGTAAGGGCACTAATCACATCAGACGCCTGGGTACTAGCAATAGTAAACAGAGGCTATACCATCCCCTTCTTGGGCCCACTGCCTTCAAACCCCCCTTCCCCGTCCCCTTTCAGGGACACCCCTCACGAACACATCCTGTGCCAGGAGGTGTCCGTGCTCCTCGCAAAAGGAGCAGTGGAAGAGGTTCCCCCACTCCTCTGCGGAAGGGGATTCTACTCCCGGTATTTTGTTGTCCCCAAACCAAAGGGAGGAGCTCGTCCCATCTTGGACCTTAGAGATCTGAACAAGGCGGTCGTAAAACACATTCAGAGTGGTGACCTTAGCCTCGGTCATCCCAGTGCTACAGTTAGGAGACTGGTACGCAATCCTCGATCTCCAGGATGTGTACTTCCATGTGGCAATCAGAACCATCCACAGGAGGTTTCTCAGGTTTACGGTTGGCCAACACCATTTTCAGTTTAGGATGCTCCCTTTTGGCCTGTCAACGGCACTAAGCGTATTCACCAAGTGCATGGCTGTGGTTGCGGTGTTTCTCCGCAAGCAAGGGGTGCACGTGTTCCCGTACCTTGACGATTGGCTAATCCGAGGTCTCTCTTACGAGCAGGTAAATGCTCATGTGTCACTCACGAAGGCCCTCTTTCTAAAGCTCGGGCTCATGCTGAACGAGGAGAAGCCATTCCTACCCCCCCTCTCAGCATCTCGAGTTTGTGGGGGCCCTCCTCGACGCAAGGGTAGCAAGAGCATTCCTCCACAGGCGTTCCTGCCCAGGAGCAGGTTCCTCTCCATACTGGAGCTGATTTCAGGGCTAACCCGGTCTCTTATCACGACCCCTCGGGTCTGCTCAAAGCTCCTGGGTCATATGGCTGCATGCACGTACACGGTACGCCACGCTAGAATGAGGATGAGGCCTCTGCAGGCGTGGTTGGCAAAGGCCTTCAGCCAGTCCCGGGGCCTTTGGGATTCAGTCATAACAGTGCCCCCAGAGGTCCTGGCCTCCCTATAATGGTGGACCCAGGAGGACGTTGTACGCAGTGCGGTACCTTTCAGTGTTCCTCCCCCCTCCCTCACGCTGGTCACCGATGCCTCCAACCTGGGCAGGGGAGCACACCTGAAGCGGCACAGGACTCGGGGTCATTGGTCCCCGACAGAACGGTCCCTGATTCAGTCATAACAGTGCCCCCAGAGGTCCTGGCCTCCCTATAATGGTGGACCCAGGAGGACGTTGTACGCAGTGCGGTACCTTTCAGTGTTCCTCCCCCCTCCCTCACGCTGGTCACCGATGCCTCCAACCTGGGCAGGGGAGCACACCTGAAGCGGCACAGGACTCGGGGTCATTGGTCCCCGACAGAACGGTCCCTTCACATAAACGTCCGGGAATTGTGAGCGGTGAGAACAGCCTGCAAAGCCTTCCTGCCAAGACTCTCTTGCCGCTCGATCCTGGTTCGTTTGGACAATACAGCAGCTGTCTTTTACCTCAACAAGCAGGGGTGGGGCTCGGTCGCCTCCCCTCTGCAGAGAGGCTCTGCTACTCTGGGATCTGTATTTGGAAAAAGAGAT